CTTTCTTTCTTTCTTTCTTTCTTTCTTTCTTTCTTTCTTCTTTCTTTCTTTCTTTTCTTTCTTTCTTTCTTTCTTTCTTTCTTTCTTTCTTTCTTTCTTTCTTTCTTTCTTTCTTTCTTTCTTCTTTATTTCTTTTCTTTCCTCTCTTTGCTTTTGGTATCAGGATAATCTGGCTTCGTAAGATGAATTGGGAAGTATTTCTTCCTTTTCTATTTTCTAGAAGGGACTGTAGATTTGCTGTTAGTTCTTTTTCATTTGGTAGAATTCTCTAGAGAAAATGGGCCTAGAGATTTGGTTTTGGGGAGTTTGAAAAGAATTCTAAATTCGAGACCTTAATAGTTATAGGGCTGTTCAAATGATCTGTTTCATATTGGGTGATTTATGGTAGCTTGTGTTTTTCAAGGAAGTAGTCTGTTTGATCTAAATTTTCAAATGTGTGTGTGTATAGTTGTTCATGATATTCTATCCTTTTGATGGCTTCAGGGTATATATATATTGCCATCCCCTATTTAATTCCTTATACTAATAATTTGTGTCTTCTCTCTTTCTTCTTTGTCAATCTTGCTAGAGTTTTATCAATTTTATTGATTTTTTTTCAAAGAAGCAGATTTTAGTTTCATTTGGGTTTCCTATTGTTTCCCTGGTTTCACTTTCATTGATTTCTATTTTAAAATTGCAAAAAGAATGAATTTTTCCTGTTCTCACCACAAAAATAATTTTTGTTGTTATCTTTATTATTTCCTTTCTTTGCTTGTTTTTGGTTTATTTTGCTCTTCTTTGTATAGTTGCTTGACAAAGGAACTTAGGTTACTGATTTAAAACCCCTTCGGTTTTCTAACGTAAGCATTTAGTGCTATAAATTTCCTTCTTAGCATGGCTTTAGCTGTGTTCCAGAAATTTTGTTATGTTGTATTTTCATTTTATTTCAGTTCTGTGTATTTTTATTCTCTTGAGACTTCTCCTTTGACCTGAGGATTATTTAAAAGTGTATTGTTTAGTTCCCAAGTGCTTAGAGATTTTCCTATTTTCTTTCTGTTAGTGATTTCTAGTTTGATTCCATTGTGGTTGGAGGACAACTCTGCATGAGATCAGTTCTTTGAAAATGGTTAAGCTTTGTTTTATGATCAAATGTATGGTCCATCTTAGTGTATGTCCTATGGGCACTTAAAAAGCATCTGTATTGTATTGTTGGGTGGAATGTTCTATAAATGTTAGTTAGATTCTTTGGTTGATGGTATTGTTGAATTCTTCTGTATTCTTGATCATTTTCTACCTAGTAGTTCTATCACTTGCTGAGAGAAGGATATAGAAGTCTTCATTATAACTGTGGATTTGTCTTTTTCTCACTTCAGTTCTATAAGTTTTTGTTTCACACATTTTGCAGCCCTGTTATTTGCTGCATAAACATTTAGGATAGCTATGTCTCCTTATTAGATTGACCCATTTACCATTATGTAATATCTAATTCCAC